TTTCAATTCATCTTGATTTTCTTATGTTACTCTTTTTTAAATCATTCATTGATGGGATGAGGGCATCGCTGACCAGGCCAGCATTTGTTGCCCGTCCCTAACTGCCCAGGGGGCGGTTAAGAGTCAACCACTTTGCTGTGGGTCTGGAGTCACACGTAGGCCAGACCAGGTAAGGACGGCAGTTTCCTTCCATAAAGGGCATTGGTGAACCAGATTGTCTTTTCCTGACAATAAACAATGGATTCATGGTCACCATTAGAATCTTCATTCTAGATTTTCCATCCGCTGCGTTGGGATTCATACCTGAGTCCCCAGAACATTACCTGGGTCTCTGGATTAATAGTCCAGTGATAATACCATTAAGCCATCACCTCCCCATCACCTTTTGGGTTCAACAGTTTTTATTTGCATTAGAAGAATAGGTGGGATGTAGAGTGACATTAGTTTTTTTGTACTGGACTAACTTCCATGCCTTCAGTAGGTGCATTCCTCCATTCTAGAATTGCTGTGTACAAGTCTGTGCTGGGTTTGTTTGATTACTCTATGATTTTTTTGGTGATTTTCACTGCTGTTCAGCCTTTCCATTTGACCGGGGATAGTATGTAGCTGATGTATGGTGTTGAATTTCCCGGTTATTTATGAAGTAACTGAATTCGTCACTTATGATCTTAGGGCTATTGACATTCATCACAATATCTGGAATGCCATACCAACTGAAGTGTATTTTCAGGCAAAGGGGAGGCAATGGCCTAGAGGTATTATCATTTGGTTATTAGACTTTTAATCTGGAGACCCGGGTAATGTTCTGGGGATCTGGGTTCAAATCCTGCTGTAGCAGATGGTAGAATTTGGATCCAATAAAAATCTGGAATTAGTAGTCTAATGGTGATCTTGAAACCATTGCTGATTGTCGGAAAAAATCCATCTGACTCACTCATCCCCTTTCGAAAGGAAACTACCATCCCTACCTAGTCTGACCTATGTGGCTCCAAGTACACAGCAATATGGTTGATCCTTAACTGCTCTTTGGGCATTTAGGGATGGGCAATAAATGCTGACCTAGCTAATGACTCCCATATCCCATAGAATAAAATAATTCTGCAATCTCATTGATAATTGTTGACCACAGCTGATCAAACTTCCATTAATCTGAATAGTAGTTGATGACAAGGAGACCTGTTCCAGGGAGATTGAATGGGCCTACTCCAAGCTTCACCTATGATCTGCCTGGGATGACATATGTTATAAGTGTCCGTTCAGCTGGCTTGGCACTGCATTGGCTGATGTGTTCCTCAATCTCATTGCTCATGTTTGGCCAACAGAGAACTTCGCTTTCCTTCCTCAGACTTCATTCAATTCTTTATTGTTTCAGTGGTTGTACTTCCAATATCTCTTTTCCCATCTCCTTCGGGATAATGACTCTTCTCTACTTGAGGTTGTTACAGGACATTGGTGAGGCCTTTTCTGGAATACTGTGTGCAGTTCTGCTCTTCCTGTTATAGGAATGATTAAACTGGAGAGGGATCAGAAGAAATTTACCAGGATGTTGCTGGGAATGGAGGGTTTGAGTTATAAAGAGAGGCTGGATATGCTGGGACTTTTTTCACAGGGGAATAGGAGGTTTAGAGGTAACCTTATGGACCTTTTAAAATCATAAGGGGTACAGATAAAGTGAATGGCAGGTGCCTTTTCCCTAGAGTGGGGAATTTCAAGACTTGGCGGTATATATTTAAGGTGAGAGGAGAAAGATTTAAGAAAGACATGAGGGCATTTTTTTTTACACAGAGAATGATTCGTGTGTGGAATGAACTTCCAGAGGAAGTGGTGGGTGTGGGTACAGTTACAACATTTAAAAGACATTTGGATAAGTACATGAATAAGAAATATTTGGAGGGATATGGGCCAAGCACAGGCAAGTGGGATTAGTTTAGTTTGGAATTATGGTCGACAGGGATGAGTTGGACCAAAGGGTGTGTTTCCATGCTGTATGACTCTTTGACTCTACTTGCTATCTACAAGATGCCATCTTGCGCTATCACTTCACCTCCGAATGCCAAATTCCCACTTATAATAACAGCTGTCACTTTGATACTTGCTGGTCATTCTTTTGAATCTAATTCCTGCAGCAGTCAGAAAGTTGCAGCTTGTTGTGTAGTTTGCTTGATGTGAGCCAGGCACATCTTTCAGATTCAGAGGGCTGAATCTTATTATTTTTGGCTTAAGTGCCAGTTACATAGAGTCCTTTGAAGGGTTTTTCACCGAGACACCTGGTCAGTTTTGTTGCCAAATCTTACCAGAACATTAGGGACTATAGAGATAATATGTGTGTGGACCCAGGAGATATTTACACAGTGAATACTTTACATCAATCTTCACAATGGAAAAGAACGATACAATTACAGATGTCAGGGTGAAGGAATGTGACATATTAGAGAAAAGGTTGAGACAGAGAAAGAGAAAAGGTAAAAATAGGAATTAGCAGCCTTAGAGGTGGATAAATATGCAAATCTGGTTGAGACATATTTCAGGCTGTTCAGCAAGGCAAGAGAGGGCATAGCAGGAGCCCTGGCAGTGATTTTCAAAGCTTCTCTGGCCACAGGTGAGGTGCCAGGGGACTGGACGACTGCTAATGTTGTGCCATTATTTAAAAAAGGAGGAAGGGATAGATCAGGAAATTGCAAGTAAGTCTAACATCGGCACTGGGGAAGTTATTAGAAAGAATTCCGAAGGAGAGAATATATCTGCATTTGGAGAGAAACTGACTAATCGGGAATAGTCAGCAAAGTAAGGTCACATTTGACAAATTTTGTTGGATTTTTATGAGGCAGGAACAAGGAGGGTTGATGAGGGTAATGCGCTCGATGTGGTCTACATGGACTTTAGCGAGGCTTTTGGTAAGGTCCCTCAAGAACGCATCGGATCCAAGGCAATGTGGTACATTAGATCCAAAATTGGGCTGAGAGGCAGGAAGCAGGGGATGATGGTGGAAGGACATTTCGGTGACTTAGGTCTGTTTCCAGTGGGGCTCCACAGGGCTCAGTACTGAGGCCCTTGCTATTTGTGGTGGACATTAATGAGTTGGGCTTAACTGTATGTTCAAGACGTTTGCATATGAGTTGGGAATTGGTCGGGTGGTAAATAGTAAGGAGGACAGCCATAAACTGCAGGAGGATGTTAATGGATCGGTCAGCTGGGCAGAGCAGTGGCAAACGGAATTTAATGTGGAAAAATGCGAGGTAATGCAATTGGGGATGGCTAACTAGGCAAGAGATTAAACCATGAATGGTAGAACCTGGAAAGTACTAAAGATCAGAGAGACTTGGTATACATATCCTGAAGGTAGCAGGGCAACAAGATAAAGTAGTTAAGAAGTCACTTTTTTTTGCCTTTATTTGCCTTTATTAGCTGTGGCATAGAATACAATAGCAGGCAGGTTATGCACGGAACTATATAGAATATTGTTTAGGCCACAACTGGAAGACAGTGTGCAGTTCTGGTCACTATCATTGTAATACTGCTGCAAGGACACTGTGCAGCTCAGGGGCATACATCAAGCTCATATTATTGACTTAGTGAACCAGAGGGGTTTTAACAACAATCGATCGCCATCAAGCTAGCATCTACTTGCAGATTTTTAAAAATTGAATTCAAACCTGTGTCCTGGAGGCGCGTGCAAATATCAAGGTGAAGTGCTTCTGTAATGATTGGAGGAAGGTTGACCATGTGAACATCATTGGGTTTGTATTCCCTGAGTGGGCTTGTTAACCTGGGCCAATCGGGGAGCCCTAGTTGACAGATATAAACAGGAGTCTCAGGCATTTACCTTATTCTGGGGGCTGGCTCTGAGCTAGTGGGTCAGAGTCCATGTGCAAATAAAGGGTGACATGGTAATGGGATCCCAACCTCTGTGCAGTTACTTGAGTTTTTCTTGTCTGCTTTTTCTCACACCCAAGATCTGTTGCATTTCATGTTTCTCTGTGAAGTTTGAAAATAGAGCAGAAAATGCTGGGGATGTTCAGTCAGGTAGCATCTTTAGAGAGAGAGAGAGAGAGAACAAGAGTTAACATTTCAAGAGTGTGACATTCATCAGATTTCATAAATAGGAAAACAAAATACTGTGGATGCTGAAAGTCTGATCCCAGACCTGAAACAATTCTTTGTTTTCTCTCCTCTCTCTTTGCTGAGCATTTACAGCATTTGGAAATCTGATCCCAGACGTGAAACAAACTCCTTCACTCTCCCTCTCTGTTGAGTATTTATAGCGTTTTTTGATTTTGGAAATCTGATCACTGACCTGAAGCAAACTATTTGACTCTCTCACACTAAAACAGAAACTGTTGTACTCAGCAGGTCTGGCAGCATCTGTACGGAGAGAAAAGAGCCTGGAAATTTCAAGTCGAGTGAACTGTTTCTGATTTTGCTTCACATCTTCAGTATTTGCAGTTCGTAGAATCCCTACAGTGCAGAAAGAGGCTATTTACCCCATTGAGTCTGCACTGACTCTCCGAAAAGCATCCCACTTGGACCCACCCCTACCCCATCCACGTAATGTCACGCATTTTTTAAAATCATGGCTAATCCACCTAGCCTGCACATCCCTGGTTACTCAAGGCAATTTAGCATAGCCAATCCCCCTAGCCTGCACACTTTTGGACTGTGGGAGGAAACTGGAGCACCCAGTGGAGAAATGCAAAGTCTACACACAGTCCCCCAAGACTGGAATCAAACAAGGATCCCAGGCACTGTGAGACAACTCTGCTAAACACGGTTCTTTGTTTTATCTTTTTTTTTCTCTCTGCTGTGCATTTACAGCAATATCTGTTCCTATTTCAGATTTTCAGCATCCGCAGTATTCTGCCTTTGCTACCCAGATTGTTATTAGTGGCTTTTGCTACAATTGCCAGTGGGTTCAGAGAACCTGCTGGCTAATTGCGGGATTTTGGTTGCACACTGGTAATTATCGCTTTAATTTCCACACTTTCCTCTCCCCCCCCCAATCCCATCCTGCGAGGTGGATGTCCATCCGGGTCCCGGCTCCCCGGTGACGTCAGCGGGGCAGGCTGGCCCTTGTAAATAATGGCGAGTCTCTGAGAGCGGGGCGGCTGCGGAGAGTGGGGAGGTAGGTTGGTGCGACAATCCCCTTCCATCCTCCCTCATCCCGGCGCCGTTGACTGCGGCAATTGGCGGATCAGAGGCCCCGCTTCCTCCCTGACGTTGGGAAGTGGATATTGATGAAGATCGGCGTCGTTTTGCCCCTTAAATCGGCGGGGAAAGAAGCTCTTGTCCCCGCTCTCTCTTTTCCCCCTCCCCCATCTTTACATTATAAGCAATGGCTGCGGCTTGCAGTCACAAGGCGCTGATTTCCCACAATCAAAAGAATGTGCATAAACTAACATGCTTCCTCTCTTTTCTACAAACAGAGCAAAATAAAAATGGAGCTGAGAGTTGGGAACAAATACAGGCTGGGCAGGAAGATTGGCAGCGGCTCCTTTGGTGACATTTATCTGGGTAAGTTACTGTGTTTTTATTTTCTTTTTTGGAAAGAAAAATCACATGTCATTTTGGAGGAGGTGTGCCTCATTTTTGATTAACAGTAATTATTGGGAAAAGCTGGTGTTATTACTGTTTGTTTAAAAGCAACTTGGAGTTCATTTTTTTGGTGGGGGTGTTTTATTTTGAGGGAATTTATTTTGTGTGTTCCAATTTTAATAGGTCTGTGATTTAAAATTGGGCTTTGGAGTTTTTTTTTCTTTCTGTTGTTGTGATTTGTCCCTTCTGCTGGCTTGTGCCCTGCTGAAAAAGGAGCAGCTGTTAAAGTTGCTGTTGGTGTAGATGGCTGTTGTCAAGACCCGTCTTTTGATGATTAAACAGAACCAGGATTTAATCTTCTGTCAATATGTCAAAAGTCTGCCTCTGCCTTGTGTTGAAATTGGTGGTCGGAAATAAGTGGAGTGGCTGTTTTGTTTTTGGACTGTAAGTATGTGGGAAGTGGTGGATGTTGTGGGGTGGGTGCAAGGGGTTGACTTGTTCCTGCTTCCCACTCCTGAGCTTTCCATTTTTGTCACTACGAAGTTCAGAATCTCAAGACCATCAGGCCCTAACCTATCTTCTGTTGTGTCAGAGAAGCGTCTCCACAGAGACCTGGTCCCAGGACTGGACTAGCCCTCGGAGCCTTTTCAGTCCAGTGTCTTTGGCTTCTTGCTTTAGCCCCAGAGTGCCCAATCAATCCTCCAAAGTGGAAGGATGAGGCTTGATAATGTTTTGTCACTGCGAAGATTGTCCTTTTTATCATTGCTTTGAAGATCACAAAACAGGATCCTCTTTCTCCACTGCACCACTTGTAAGATATCAAGTTATAAAGTTCTAAGGAAGGGTCTCTGGATCTGAAACATTAGCTCTGTTTTTTTTTCCCTGATGCTGCCAGACCTGCTCAGCTTTTCCAGCAACTTCTGTTTTTGTTCCTAAGTTATAAGGCATCTCTAGCTATACCATTTCCATTTGAGAGAAGGTGGCTTCAGAAATCTCTTATCTATTGTACAAACAGGGATATGTGATTTTTGTTTGGGAACTGGCCAAAGAAAGAGTGCCCGTGGTCATTCTCCCTGCTGTGAAGTGGAGCCATTTTGATGAGGGCATTCCAATAATTGATAACAGCAAAATGGTTTAACAAAGGGGGTGTTTCTCTAGAGACTGCTACTGGTGATTGAAACTAGCCTGGAGTTAAAAATTGGAGGAATTGTTTGTTAGGAATACTTCCTGGCAAGAGTAGAGTCATTTCTCTTGATTTTCCTTCCCACTGGTGTTAACAAAGTGCAAAGTTTGAGTTAGTCTGATTTACATGACATCTTGACTACAGTACGTGTACATCCTGTCGTTTCTTCTCTCCCTTGAGGATGCTGTTGAAACACAAGCTGTTGGTCCTATTCCAGCCTGACATGTTCCAATTGACCTCCAAGTTTATTTCTAATACAAAATGCTGAAATTTGTTTTTCACATTGCATTCCTCCCTTTTTGAATGATGGTAGGAATTTGCAAAGTAGAAAGAGCTGGAAAATAAGGCAGCACCAACTCTATGTATTCTGACAGTGGGGAACGTTTTGGGCTTGTTCTAGAACATTTAGGAGGTTGAGATGTGTGTTTTTGTTTTGTTGCGGCTGGAAGTTAATCAAAACAACACGTTAACCTGACTAATTTGGAAACTTGGATAACAAGGTGTAGAGCTGGATGAACACAGGCCGAGCAGAAAGGCTGACGTTTCGGGCCTAGACCCTTCTTCAGATTCTCCAGCATCTGCAGTTCCTACTATCTGAAATAATTTGGAAACTTGTCTTCAAGGTGTGACAGTTTGCTTTCTGAAAAAGTTTGGCATGTCTGTCTTCCCCCTCCGCCCTTCCCCACTGACAAAAGACTTAAATGATCTCTTGCTCTTGTCTCTGTGTGGTGATTAGTTCCATTAAATAATCTGCTAGGAAGATGGGTCACTCGGACCACACTGTTCTGATCACAGCTGCCGTAGGGTGGTCATTGAGTCATACAGCATGGGAACAGATCCTTTCGTCCAACCAGTCCATGCCAAACATAATCCCATACTAAACTAGTCCAGCCTGCCTGCTTCTGGCCCTTTTCCCTACAAACCTTTCCTATTCATGCACTCATCCAAACGTGTTTTAGATGTTATAATTGTACCCACATCCAACTCTTCCTCAGGAAGCTCATTGCACACGCAAACCACCCTTTTTTTAAAAAAGAAAATAGCCCCTTGTCTTTTTACAATCTCTCTTCCCGTCCCCTTAATGTGTCCCCTAGTCTTGAAATCCCTTGTCCTAGAGAAAAGACAACTACCATTAATTCTATCTATACCCCTCATTATATTAGAAAACTTCTATAAGGTTGCCCCTCAACCTCCTATGCTCCAGTGAAAAAAGTGCCAGCCTATCCAGCCTCTCCTTTATATCTCCTTTATATAATGTAGAAGGTTTTAGACAGGGGTTCATCTGCACATCCGTCAACTTGGTCTACTGCATCCGCTGCTCCCAATGTGGCTGCCTCTACATTGGTGAGACCAGCGGAGACTGTGTTTTGTAGAGCATCTGCGCTCTGTATGTGACAAACGACAACACCTTCCAGTCGTGAGCCATTTTAACTCTTCCCTTCCCCCATTCCCCCGGTGACGTGCATCCTGGGCCACCTCCGGTGTCATAGTGACATCACCCGCAAACTGGAGGAGCAGCACCTCATATTCTGCCTCAGGAGCCTACATCCTGATGGTCTAAACATGGATTTCACCAGTTTTAAAATCTCCCCAACCCCAGCCTCATCCCTTGTCCAACCCTCCCTCTCATCCCTGCCTCCTTGACCTGACACAACCTGTCCGTCTTCTGTGCCACCTATCTGCCCCTCCTACCCCACTGACCAATCCCCGCCACTCCCTACCTGCACTCACCTATCACCATCCCGCTTACCTTCCCTAGCCCCACCCCAACTCTCTATTTATTTCTGAGGTCCCTTTCCCCTTCCCATTTCTGAAGAATGGTCCCGAAACATCAACTTTCCTGCTCCTCTGCTGCCTGGCCTGCTGTGTTCCTCCAGCTCCACACTGTTATAGCAGAAATCTAGAAATATCTCCATACTTATGGAGTGTGCTATAGTAAACACTTCGAGAAAAATTCAGACTGAGCATCAACCTTAAGTTTAATACTAGAACTAGTTAAATGTGATTTATACCAACATGCAGTTTATAAAAAGTTCCCACATTGAGGTGTATTTGCATTTATGTAGCTTTTTTTTTCAAAACGTCAAGGCTTCCCAAACTGCTTTGCAGTATGGTCAGTGTTTTGGTAGGATTGCAGCAGTGAATTTACCAACAGAAAGATCCTGCATACAACAATGTGATAATGAGAAACATAATTGTTTTTTATTTCATGATATTGAATTGTGGAAGGATATAAGTCTAGATAGTTGGGAGAGCACGAGGAGATTTTGCTTTTACATCCATCTGAAATAGCAGGTGGCCTTTCGGTTTATTGTTTCATACAAAAGCTAGCACCTTTTGACAGTGTGGCATTCCATTGATGCTGTGCTGGAACATCTGGCTGTGGAGTGTGCCCACCTGATATGAGACTTGAACCTACTTTCTGGCTTAGGAGAGAAATCTGCCCACAGCTGACAGTGTGTCTTCTGTGCTATATCGTCACTTCAAGTTGCTTGATGCCTGTTGATGCAGTGTGAACATCCTAGAACTGTCTGGTGATCTCCCTCAATGCCTGAGTGAGGACTGAAATCTCAATGTGTCTTTATTGCACTTGTGTATTTGTTGCAAATTTTTCACTTGGTTATGAAAATCCTAATAATAAGAGTTTGTTGATCTAAGGTAGAACCTTGCTTTGTAACTGGTGTAATTAGGTTTGTGGTGATTGTTGTTGGGCAGGGGGTGGAACAAAGCACTATGGCAATGACCAAATGATCTGTTTCAGTGGTTGATATTAGTTGAGGAACAAAATTTTGAGCAAAGCTCTGGTTTTAGCAAAATCAGCACCACCCAATATGGTTACTGGATATTCTTAGCTGCTGCTTGAAATGGATAATTCAAGCCTTCCTTTTGGAACGTGTTCCATTGCTAATTTTTCTTTGCCACAGTCTGAATCAAAAAAGAAGAATGTACAGAAGATTAGAGCGCTAGGTCAAGACTGTGTGTAATAATGGCAGAGAGAAGCTTCTCAATAACTTAAGAGCTGTACCCTTTGTACAGAAAAGGGAGCAGAGTTTGTACGTCATTGTGGTTGAGGACCCTGAGATTTTGTTGCTGTTGCAAAAACTTGGCCTTGAAATTTCACAGAGTATTGGTGAACGTAATGTATTTTGGGTTTCTTTCTGTTTTGAAAGCATTCTTCTGATTAAAATAAAGTGAATAATGAGGTCACAAAGGAACTTGTACATCAAAATAAAATGACTTTTTTTATATGTAAGATGGTTGGCGGTGGGGGGGGCGGGGGTGGAGTGGAAGTGCAAGGTCACAAAACACTTAAGATGCATAAGAATAACAATTGTTGCTAAAGGAAGAGCTGTTATTTGGTGACCAAAAAAAACTTGCTCATTGAGATGGTCTTTTTTTAAGAAGAACCCTGACATTTTTAAGGTAATTCCAGAGCATGGGGCATTATCAATTTAAGACTGGGCTACCAGCAATGGGACAAAAGAGTGAGTTGTCTGGGGATTTGGACAAAGGACAGAACGCGCTGAGAGGACTTTCAGGGCTGGAGACTGCTCAGGGTGGAATGGGCAGACTGTCAACGAACTGGAAACCACTCCAGGTCAGTAAGAGCCAGTGATAACGGATTGTCCGGTCTTGATGCAAAAACTGCTAACATTTTTTTTGCAATGAGCTGAAGTTTGTGAACTATGGAAGCTGGAAGTTCAACTAGAAAAGCTTTGCAGTATCTGAATCTGGAGTTGGAAATGTCATGTCACGTTCTTCGGCCGATGGACTGTGCAAGTGGGATTTTTATGGA